GTTCTTTACACCTTCAGTACGTACGCTTTCAGTTCTTTGCATTGAATCCTGCCCGTGAAATGCATAGTCTGGTTTCCTGACCAGAATCCCAGCTGATACATTAAAGAAAGGAAAATCAACAAGACAAAGCAAGTTGTGCTAAACATTAGGAAGAAAACAAGACAGGGTAATAATGAAATAGAAAATAAAAAGTAGTGCGGCGGTGGTAGGGGATAGGGGCTATTTTCAATGGGCAGGGCTTTCTGCAGAGGTGATGTTTGACTTGACAAATGAGAAGGAGCCAGACCTAACGGGTGAGTATTCCAGGTGGGGTCAGGGTCTCTGGGGCTTGTGGGCTGTGACAGCTCCTCAGTGGAAGCCTGCCCTTACGGGTGATGATTGAGGGAGTGGCGGCGAAGAGAAGAGATGGCTTAGTTTGTGGCCCCAGCTCTGAGGGTTTAGCCCTGGGAGCCTCGGAGCAGAGGCCTGACATTTGGTATAAGTGTGTGCTTGGAAACGTAGTCCTGCCTCCCTTCTTGCCGCCCCACCCTCCCTGGGGGAGGGAAGCCTCTGCGCGCGGCTCCGGCTCCTTGAACGTGCTGATCTCGCCGCGGCCAGTAGAGGGCAGTGGTTGCCGAGGTGCGCGCAAGCTGGCGGCCGACCTTTCCCCTAGTCTTAATTTGGGCGGTCAGTTTTCCCAGGGAACCGGGTTGGGTCACTTCCCTTACCTTCTGTAATCCCCAGTGCCCCCAAACAGATCTCTGAGCCCTGGCCTCTCCTTGGAGGGGCTGGGAATAGGAGAGGGAGATGCAGGTGAGGCTGGGCCAATGTGCAGACCCTTGCCTAACCACTCCTGGCCGAGTTCCAGTTACAGTGGGCTAAGGGGAAGGTTCTCACAATTAGCATATTTGCTATTGTTGCAGGAAAGGGGGACCCCTTTCTGGGCCCTAGAGTGAGCTCCTGTCTAACACTAGGAAACGAACTGTCCAAGGAGACACACGAGCTGACACAGCAGGAGAATTTATTGGGAAGGGTCACTGGCCAGGATGGAGAGGAGGAGGGTAAGGGAAACCAGAGAACTGCTTTGCCCTGTGGCTAGCAGTCTTGGGTTTTATGGTGATTGGATTATTTTCCAGGTTGCCTTTAGCCAATCATTGTGACCCAGGGTCCTTCCTGGTGGCCCGCACATCGCTCAGCCAAGATAGGTTCCAGTGAGAAGGATTCTAGGAGAACATGTGGACTGGCGTCGCTTCTGTCTCCTCTTGACCTTTCCCAAATTCTTCTGGTCTGTGGTGGCTTGTTAATTCCGTGTTCCTTACCAAGATCTTCGGTAGTAAACTAACTCATACCAATGGTTATTGTGGTGCCTGGCCAGGGTGGGCCGTGTCATGTTTCCCCTAACACTATTATTTTTATTTTAAAGCATTTAGCATGTGTCAGGCCCCGTTCTTTTATCATGCGTCATCTCTTTAAAACTTCACACCACATCTGTGAGGCAGGTACTCAGTCTCTTGGAGGTTGCTTAAGATCACACAGCAAGAACTAGGATTTGCTCTACTCGCCACGTCTCAATTTCTCTCCTGCTGCCTCCAAGGAGGGCATGTTGCCCAGGGACTTGAGATGAGTAGGGAAGGGATGAGCAGAAGGGGATCATCAAGGGGTGACCTGCTGGAGCACTCATCTGCTCCTTTGTTCTGCAGATGAAGAATCAACTCCAGAGAGGGGACAGTGCCTCCCAAGGGTCCCACAGAGATCACATGGTTGGCCACAACAGAGGGGACTTGGGCACTACAGGGGACCATGAGTTGGATCCTGGGCAGGAGCCAGAATTCCCTGGAGGGCAAGGACCCCTCTCTACCACTCTCTTCCCTGCTGTCCCCAGTACAGGGGTAGCACATAGCAGATGCTCATAAAGTCCTCCACAATGAGTCAGTCTTGCATCCCTCAGTAGCTGTAGTCATCTGCCATTCATGACTTCATTCATTTACTCAGCATTTAGTAAGTGCTGACGGAGTGCTCGGCACCCTGCTAGATGCTGGGATGCACAATTGAATAAAACACAGTGCCGGCACCTGTTAGCTTATCTCCTGGTTACAGGGGGTTATCGCGGGTTACAGGGGCTACCCCCCCATTATGACTTGTGCACCCGTAGTTTTGCTCATTCCTCTGCTCAGCCTGGCACTTACAGTCTGCTCTCTACTCTGGCCAGAGGCTGAGCAATCTGCTCCATTCCCTACCCCAGGTCATTTCCACTTCCTTCTTCTTTGCCAGCCCAGACACTCCCTCCTCCAGGAAGCCCTCTTTGACTAAGGCCCCCCAGCTGCTCGACAGACCCCAGTGCTGAGGTCTTGAGCTCTGCCCAGGTATCTTTAGTTCTATCTGTCTCTGTTTCTGTGTGAGGCACTTCCTGCCTCCTCTCCACCATCAGGCTCTGGAGTTTCCCAAACACAGGGACTACCTCCCTTCCAGCTATTTTTCCTCAGGTCTTAATAGACCAGAAGAGGCAGAAGAGGAGGTCATGCTGCCAACTTTCAGCACACAGAGCCCGCCTTGGTCTCTGGACCCCAGAGCCTCTTAGAGGAAGATTTCTCTGGAACCAGCAGGGCACTCACTTGGCAGTCCTGGCCTGAGACCCCTGAGCCCTAATCTTTCATGCTGAGCCTGGGGACTCAGGATGGGCTGCAGCTGTTAGGTGCCCACTCAGCCCCAGCACCCTTTGAGTTTGAAGGTGGGGGCCTTCAGTATCCACTTCACCAAGTCCTGGCCTTGGCTGCTTTGCGTCTGTGTGGCGGGCAGCCTAGACGTGAAAAATGGTTCCAGTGAACCAACGTGCTTTCTTTTACCAGTCTGCTGGGTGACCAGACTGACAGTGCTTGGCCTCTCTGGGCTTCTGCTAATTATACCCATCCTGCTCGTCTCACCAGTGTTTGGGAGGACTAGAGATCAAGGAGAAGAAAGAGCCAAGCCCGCGGAGGGGCTTATTTTTGCCGTTGTACTCAGAACAGGGGTGGTGCCCTTGGTCAGGTGTTCACTGATTCACTCCAGAGGCCAGGAGTGGGAAGGAGGAGGAGGGAGCGCTCACGAGGAAGGGGAATTGGGCTCCAGACTTTCTGACAACTAGTCAGGATCTGCCAGCAGGAAAGGGGCAGGAGAGCTTCTTGGATAGGGAGGTCATAGTTTCTCTCCCTCCCTTCTCTCCCTCTTTCTTTCTCTTTCTCCCTCCCCTCTCTCGCTTCATGTAGTCACAGTGCTCCAACAGGCCAGGCCTTGCATTGACACCTGGGACACAGAGTCACGGAGACACACCCTCCCCTTCATGGGACTTTTAGACTAGGAGACCTAAGTTGGGAGGTACACCATTCATTTATTCTTTCTTTAATTTTGCTTTGACTGAAGACGTGCTCTGGGCTGGGCACTGTGCAAGGCCCTGGGGAGGTAATGGGATACAGTCCCTGCCCGCAAGGAGTTTAGAGGATAAAGGGCACAAAAAGAGGCAAGGAAGCACTGCTAAAGTAGAGGATTAAGGAGGCTAGGATCCAGAGGTGAATTCTGCTGGATTTAAGTATGTATTCACAAATGTTTGTGAGATGAGTGGCCCTTATGTGCAGAGCTTTCTTAACAGCTTATGAGTCAAAGAATAAAATTTTTTTAACTAAAGCCTAATAAAAAATGCTGCATATGAAGCAGTCAAAATAGTACATAAAAGGAAATTTATGGCCTTTAGAGAATCTTATATTGAAAAAAAAGAAAGATGGAAAGTTAAAACATTCAACTCAAGAAGTTGAAAGCTGATAAATTCAAAGAAAGCAAAGGAAAATAAATAACAAATAGGTTTTTAAAATGTAATATTTATTATGAACTCAGTGTCAGAAACTCAAATTAGTGTTCAGAAATTCATAATTCAGGAGTTAATAGAATAGAAAACAAAGATAATATAAGTAGAGAGCTGGGCTCAGTTCCAGGACTTTCCTGCATAGAAATGAGGTTTGTTCATCATTTCTTCTGAGTTTTGAGAGCAGAGCCCAGGAGAATGGATAAATCCTGAGTGGAAGTGTCTAGTCTATCAGCCCTGGGGCATGGTTATGCTGTGCTCTGAAAGAGCCAGCTCCAGGCCTGATTTTAGTTTCTCAACTAGTCTGTTGTCTTTAGTCCATAATATCTGCTGTAATAACAATAACGACATCACTAATAATCCTTTATTCTTGTTGAGCTGTTACAGTTCAGAGTCCTGTAGCAAGATGTGCTACTCCTGGTAGGAATGAGCCCAGGTACCTTGTCAGATCCCCAAACATCCTTTTAGGTAAATAGGGAAGCTGTGTGTTCTATTTTACAGATGGGAAAACCGAGGTTCCACTTATCTCATTCCAGTGAGTGGGTTCAAAGGCCCTACTTCACCCCCAAAATTCCTGTCCTTGAGACACCTCTTCTTCCTGTTTTGATTCCTGAGTTCCCTGAGCAAGGCCCTCTCCTCTCTGCCTTCTGCACTTGGAGAGAAAGTCTAGACTGCTACCTTGAGCAGAGAGCGCCTCTCGACCTGGTAGTGAGTTTCTCCAGGTGGAAGGGTGGGGAGCACTCGTAGGTGTTTTACTGCAGGGCTGGGCTTGGAGAAGGCCCTCAATCCTTGTTGCTGATCTAGAATTTGATTTTGCAGGATTAGGCCTGTACCTATCAGAATATATTCTGGGCTGTGCCAACCCGCACAATTGGGCAGAAGGGCTTCAGAGGGAATCCGCCACCACATGGGGAATGCCCCATGTCTGTGCTTGCTGAGGTGGTCACATGGTTCCTGGGCATATACTGGGAGGTACTGGAACATAGGTCAACACTGGTATAGCCTCCTTGTAGGATGGCAGGGCAGGAGAAATTTTCCATGGCCAAGCTGCACTGGTCTGAAGGTATAACTAAGTCCTTGGACTCGCTTTCCCGTAACTGGAGGATTTCCAAAGTCCTATGGTTAACCTGTTTGACCAATGACTGACCAATCCTGAGAGGGGATATAAAAGCAGTCAGACACACAGCTCTATCCATGAACAATCTCAGCACTTTATTTCATCCCTTTGCAGGGAGAAGGGGGCATTACCCCAAGAAATCAGCCAGCTGGGTGGGTTGGCTGGAACATGTGCTGTCTCTCCAGATAGTATAATATATAGCATTGATTATGCAGAAACAGGAAGGGAAGCAATAAGTTAAAAGCTATATAAGTTATGAAAAAATAATATATATACTTTTAATATTGTATATCCCCATTGAGGATTTGCTCCCATGGAAACCAATAAATAGGTGGAGAAAAAGCAGCAATCAGCACCCTTTTGAAACTTGAGGGATAAGTATATGTCTGAATTCTCTCAAGCCTGAGCGTCAGTAGCTCTTCAGCGCCCCCAACAGGCCTGGAGGAGGCCGGGGCCTTGGGCCACCCTGTCCTGGAAAATGAGATGAATGAATCAAAGACTGGGTCCTGTGGAGGAGGTGAGGCAAGGGGGAGGTAGGGAGAGGAAAGGGAGGAAGAGAAGGTGGCTTACGGAGTGGGAAAGTGGAGCTGCCAGATTCCCTGTAAGGCCTTGAAGGTGAGAGCCAAGAGGATGAAAGAGGAGCGTTCCTCTAAGCCCCAAACCTTCTTGTTGGATCGCTGCTGCAGAATTTCTCTTTAGTTAGTCATTGGGGCCCCCTAATCTGACCTTGAGGGCTCAGAAGTTCCCAGACCTGAGTGGACAGCGCCTTCTTCATGACCCTGCTGGCAGCAGAGGGGCAGACGTGGAGGAGGAAGAAGGGAAGGACCTCTGATCCATAAGTGTGGGTGCAGAGAGGGGAGGGCCAGGCTGCTTGGCCTGATGGAGGGAACGGAGACCCTCAGGAGTGGGATTCATGGGAAATGGGCCTGGGGTTTCATGGCAGGGGTGGCGACAGGAGTCTCCAGGGCCTGGTGCATACCCAAACCAGGTTTCAGTCTGGGAAGCATCTGGGTGGGAGGCAGAGAGCTCAGACCCCAGGCAGGGTGGTGTATCCCAGGATGACAGAAAGGAGAGAGGAGGGTCCAGTTCTCCTGCCCTGTCTCCCCCACTTCCCACTTCCCCCATCAGGGAGTTTATCATGGCAAGAAAAGCTTCTAGAAGAGGTGCTTGGGAGCTTGCTGGACAGCTGTCCAGTTCTGACCGTGACCTGCTGGGAGGGACTCACAGGAGGAGGGGAGGGGCATGGGTGTCTGGGCTGATCTCAGAGTTCTGGGCTTAGGTCCCAAACACCCAGGGAGCCTCCTCCCCTCACTCCCTAATACTGTCAGGTCTCCGGGAACCCCAGCTGGTGCAGGAAAGCCAGGTGCCTCCCCAGGAACTCTGGATACTGGAGGGTGCCCACGTAGTCCCTGTCAGCCCCTGGTTTGAGGCTAGCTGGGGCTAAGGGAGTGACAGCACTCACTTTGGTTCCTAGTCAGAGGCAAGGCAAGACTTGGGATGTGAGTTTAGGGCAAGGGTTGGGCGAAGGGTCAAAAGCAGCTTGGTTAGAGCCCCCTGTTGTGCGAGGAGCAGAGAGGTGGAGGCAAAACCCCAGTTCCAATTTACCGCGGCAGGAAGACCTCTGGCCAGATATTGGAAGGGTGGATTGTGAGATATTGATATGGAGCCGAGTGACTTTGAGTAGCTGGTGACAGTCCTGTCCCATTCCCGCAAAAAAGCAGTCACTGTTTTCAACTCTCTTCTCCATTCAGGATCAGGTTTGCCTCCCTTCCCAACCTAGAGGCTCCAAGCTGCTTTCTTGAATCTAGTTTATGTCCTTGCTGCTGCAGGGGAGTGACCTGGGGCTCCTGAGTAAGGAGCTCAGAGTACAGCGGCCTTACTCTGAAACCTCTGACTCTTGCGAGAGGAACTTTTCTGACATTTCGGTGATTTTGATCACAGGGCCTTTCCTGTTCTTCTTTTTCCGAGAGGGAGCTCTTGAGAGGCCGGACTTGGAGACAGCTACAGGGAACATAAGGGGTGGGGCAGGGTAGGGGCTGGAGGTTTGGGAGGCATTTAATATCATGCCTTTTGGGCCATGATCCCCCCCACTGTCCTCCTCCCACCTGGGTTCTTGGGGCAAGCAGGCTCACCTGTTCTGTATCTGGCCTGCACTGCGCTGACCACGGTGGCTGAGGGCATGTCCATCCTGCGGGAGGAAGAGATGGTGGGATGTGAAGGGAACCTGTGGCTCAGTTCCCCTGGGATTGGAGGCCTGGGGATTGGCAGGCGGAGGCCAATTCTTGACTGTGCCTCCCAGCTCTGGGCTGCCCTGCTGTGTGACTTTGGCTAGCCAGCTCTGTCCCCTCTCCCCTGCATGAATGGCTATCATTTGCTGAGCACTGATTGGTGGCAGGTATTTGCACACGGGATTGTATGCACAGGTGAGGCATACTTATGATCAGTCCATTTTCCAGATAGGAAAACTGAGAATTGAGTAAACTGGACTGAAGTTCCAGTTTGTAAGTGGCTGAGCCAGGACACCAACCCAGGCCTGCTAGGCTCACAGTATCATGCAGGGGGAGAGGGGGTGGTACTGGCTTCCTGTGGGGCTTCCAGTCCTCCCCCTCTCCCAGGCTCACCCCACTGGCCCTGCTCCTCACCGGCTCTCCTCGCCTTCCATCAGCTTGCGGTAGGTGGCGATCTCGATGTCCAGGGCCAGCTTGGTGTTCATGAGCTCCTGGTATTCACGCAGCTGCCGTGCCATGTCCTTCTTGGCCTGCTGCAGGGCCTCCTCCAGCTGGGCTAACTTGGCCTTGGCATCCTGAAAGGCCAGCTCACCCTGTTCCTCAGCCACCTTGATATTCTCCTCCAGTTTCAGGCACTGAAAGTTCAGGAGGACAGAGAGAAAGGGGGGTCAGTGAGCAAGGAGGGAGGGAGAGAGCGGGTCAGGGCCAGGAGTCCATGTCCGTCCTTGGTGGGAGTGTGCGTGGGGAGGGAGGACTTGGCATGGCGTCCCAGAGCACAGTAATGGAGTGCGTCGCAGCAAGAGGCCGTTCAGTTAGACCTAAGGAGACACTTTCCCAAGGCTACCAAATATGGCAGGGCTCTGAAGGAGACTGTCTCAGCTGTCCTTCCAGGATGGCACTTCTCTGAAGGCTCATCCTGTGTGGAAGCTGGGGCTTATGCTTCCCTTCGCTTCTCTCCATAGAGTTGGTGG